AATTAGGTGGAACAAGTCAATTAAAGGACTCCTAATTAGAGAAATTGTGGGAAATTTAATTTTATGTTCTCTGATACTACAATCGTATTATTTTATGAATTTTTTGATGGACCAATAATAAAGTTATCCACTAAATTAAGCTACCCCATGTACTATTTTTTTAATGTGCGAATTACTAGTCCACCAACGTAACGGTAATTGGGTAGCAAGAATACAACATGTAATTATCCGACATAACGTAAGAAGATACCAGCAGCAACAAATCAAATTTATGAACCATGAAAATAAAAATGTGGCGTAAAGTTTGCAAATAATTATAGCTTGAATTCACATCTTGAGGGCCAGTTGTCCAATCATAGTTGTTCTCTTCACATCTTGAGGGCAGTTGTCCCATCATAGTTTGCAAATAATTATAGCTTGAATTCACATCTTAAGGGTAAATTAATAAGATTTATTGACATTTAAACTTTAAAATAAACTTTACTTCGTACAAAGAGCTTGTTCTCTTCAGATTATTTTCTGTTCAGTTCAGTTTTAACAAGTTCAGTTCAGTTCAATTCTTAATTTCCTTCTTTCATAAAATATTCATTTCAATTCAATTCAGTTCAGCTCCAATAAGTTCAGTTCAGTTTAGTTCAGTCAATCAGAACATGTCCAGGCCAAAGTCCAATATAACAAGGTAAAGTCCAATCAGATAAAGCTAATAAGTTCCCTATAACATTAGGGGTCTGTTCAGTTCAGCCTAATTTCAGTTCAGTTCAGCTCCAATTAGTTCAGTTCAGTTCAGCTCAGCTCCAATCAATTCAGTTCTGCTCCTACTTTCCTTCTCTCCTAATATATTCATTTTAGCCCAGCTCAGTTTAGTTTAGCTCAATTCAGTAAATGTGAACAGGCCCTAAATTAACACAAATATAATTTCAGGGCTAATAAAATAAGATAAGTAAAATTCAAGTGAGGATTACCCTACTTATATTAATTCCAATAAATATATATATATAATAAAAAATAAAAATAAAAATTGTGACAGATAATGATATAAGAAAATTGTATGAGGTATTGAGGTGTAACGCCGTGTTAGGCTGTGTAGCTATAATTTCCTTCTCGTTTTTGTCAATTTTAAGTTAATGTTCAATATTATATTGATCAATCGTTAATTGACTAAATTCAAGTAAAAGTCCCAATAATTTTTAGACATTCTATCATAATTATTTAAGATAGATTAGTGATAATAAGCCGGAATACAAATATATACAAAGTACATATCATATCATATAACTAATATATAAAGCTAAACTTTTAGTCAGGCCACGAGACAGCGACACTTGGCGTTCTAACTTTTCGCCAAGTGTCGCGCCACATATGACAAATAAGCTTAAATATGATACCTGTGACATTAGATAAGCAAATTTAAGATAGATTTAGGATAAAAATTTATTTTAGAGTTTGATTTATGCTAGGACTTTTAATATTCCATATGTATAAAATAGATAAGTGGATATAAGATAGGTTTTTTAGTACAAAAAATTTATTTTAGAGTTTTATCATTGATAGGACTTCCAATATTTTATGTGTATCAAATAGATTATAACATTAAATTAAAAAAATAAAAAAAATAAAAAAAAAAAAACCGAGACATTGAAATTTTACATTTTAACTTTTTGCCAAGAGTCCGTCAAGTAGACAGCTAATAAGAATTACGTAGTAGATGACATATACAGATATACTGGGTTGAGTGGGGGACAATAGGAGGAGATATAATTTATTATATACTCATACAACGTAGGGGCATTTTGGTCATTTATGAGAAATTTAAATTTTAATGGTATATTTTGTGTACCATTAAAAACATATATAGTACTCCCTCTGTCCTTTTATTATATGTCTATTTTTCATTTTGCACGAGAGTAGTATAAATATGCATGTGGGGTTAGAGATTGATACAATGAAAGAAAAAGTGGTTGGAAATTAGGAGAGAGAAATTATTGGGAATTGGTGTTAAAGACTTAAAGTACAAAAAAGAAAAAAGAAAAAAGGATGACAAATTATCAAAAAGAGAATAGTACTGTAAAAAAGTACAACCTATAAATAAAAACAGACACTTAATTTTGATGACCTGAAAAAGAAATACTGGCATGTAATAATAGGATGGATGGAGTACTATTGAATTGAAGTCTTAATATCACATTAGTATTATTGAAATTTATCATGTTTAAAAATAAAACATACTAGAAGAATGTAAATTTAAATGATAATAATTAATTTGATATATGATGGCTAGCCAAATAAAACGCCGATGATCCAGAAGTCCGGACTCGACTTCAATGGTACTATGGTGTAGCTAGACGCTTAGAAAACGCAGGTTGATGTCGTTGTAAATCCCAAAACTGCTATTGGTTATACGAGTACATATTTTTATTTAATACTCCGGTAATATTATTAAGTGATCATTAACTCATGTACAGTATTAATTAATATAATAACTATTACAGTAATACTCCCTCCTTCCCTAAATTACATTCCTCCTTTCTATTTTTGGTATTCCAAAATTACATTCCTCCTTTCTATTTTTGATAAGTGTTTTTTTAGTAAATCAACTCTCTTTTTCTGTTTTATAATTAGTGTTTTCTCACTCATCCTTACTTAATCTCACTCATAATCCTTGTGCCAAATTACAATGAATATGATTGGTTAAAAATTTTCAATTAGGAGCATGTGATTGGTCCTTTTTTTTGCAAAGGATTGATGACATGTCATGAGTAATAACTAATCTATCTTTGTACTTCCCATTGCATTATCTAATTATTGTTATTTGTCTTATTTTTCTTCCTTAATTCCCGTGTAAATTTCCAAAGAGGAATGTAATTTAGGGACGGAAGGAGTAAAATTTGTTAAATCACATAAAACAACACCCTATAATTATTTAGTGGTAATTAATTCATAAGTATTACAATGAAATAACATACAAGTATCCAAGGAATTACACATTTACACCATAGTTTTCTTTCCTACATAGTATAATTCTATAGTATATATTGCTTTTGTATAAATCAAAGGTATGTTACGTCAAAGTATCATAAATCAAACGTGATAACTAGCCTTTTATAGGATATGATGATTTGTATCAAATTTTGTGTTTAATTTATGTGGCAGTCGGGATAAAAAATTAAAAACACAATCAGCATTCCGGGCAATTGGCCGGGCACAACACTAGTTTAATTATATACTTAATCAAACATCATATGATTATATCGTATAGAAGTAGTACTTCATATTCATACAGGCGGCGTTCTCCTTACCACAAACTACGTACAAGTATATACTTCCTATTGATACTATATTATGTAGTCCGTATCATGTAGGCAATTTTGCCTATTTTTGGTTGTTTTGCTTGCTTAAGGGCTTGTTCACATTTACTGAAATGAGCCGAACTGAAATGAACTGGACTGATTGGAGCTGAACTGAACAGAACTGAACTGATTGGAGCTGAACTAAACTGAACTGAACTGAACTGATTGGAACTGAACTGAACTGAACTGAACTGAGATGAAATGAATATTTCATGAGAGAGGGAAATTAGGAGATAACTGAACTGAACTGATTGAAGCTGAACTGAACTGAACTGATTGGAGCTTAACTGAACTGAAATTAAGTAAATGTGAACAGGCCTAAATCAACTATAATTTCTAATGACAGATGATGATTAAAACATCCAACTTGGTGAAGGCCCAACCCCTAGCTCTTTACAACTAACGACATTCTCAAATCTAAATAAGGAAAATAAAAGGTCTTTCTTACCAAATTTGATCTGAAGTTTACAACCACCATAAGCTCCTTCCTAAGGTGGAACATGAATACATGATGACCATATAGGCTATGGGAAAAGTGTTCAATTATTTTTAAAGGTAGGGATGATTCATGATTGTGGATTGAAGGGGAAAGCTTAGTAGCCAACAAATAGTTATCCAAATTGCCTTAAATTAATAAATAAATAAACATTAATTAGTACTTTTTTAAAAGTAAAATTAATTCATTAATAAAAAGTAATTCGACATCTACAAAGAGAATCGAATTTAACAAATACATAAGTTAAAGCATATAAAAATTTCCTTCATAAAAACTATATACGATCGTCGAGCAAATCTTGCATTGTGGAACATCTCCCGCTTATATTATTGTATAGTACAACCTTAATGGAGAGACAATTTATCGATCCCTTATAGTCGTGAAAATGATTTCCATTGAATTTATCTGATCATATTAGAAAATTGATGATAACTTTTGCGACCCTGCATAATTTTACAACGACGAAACAAGTTCACAACAAACCGTCAGATGATCTATCATTCCGATTTTAAGCTATAGATATTCCTCTTTGAAAAAGGGAGATAAACCATGTCTTTCGAATGAGGCCAAAAAACCTTGTCTCGAAAAAACTTTTGTCTTTCGAATGAGATCTAAAACTCTTTCTTTCGAAGGAGAAATCATTACTTTAAACCTAAAAAAACAAACAAAAAAGTCCAAAGTAACAAAGGTTAGGGCTTTGAGGCTTTTCTACCGGTAAAAACTGATGGAAGCCCCTTCAAAAATCGAAAATGGAGGCTAGGTTTTCTTTAGAGAGAATAGAGGAGGGAATAGAGAGCGTCTGAAACGGAGAAACTATGTCATATTTTAAAAAAAAAAAATAGAGTTTTAACTTGAATATGGAATTTGCAAGCTTCATAAATTGTATCTCATCATTGAAAAAATTGTTAAAACAAAATGATGATAGTGTAAAAAAATTGTTAAAACAACAAGGAGATTAGTTAGTTTTATCTCAACACAATTTTGTAGCCATTGGTAGTATTGAAGATGCTTAGAGAGTTAGAGAGATGCATATCATATTGCTTTAAGTAAGGTTTGATGCAAACTTGGTGGTTGAGGAATGGTGAGTGGATTGAGTTGTTCATAGGTTAGTTTGAATTGTGCATGGGTTTGTGATCGAGTTAAGACATGGGTAAATGGATCGTGTGTTAATGCCTTAGCCCTAGCGATAGCCATGGGGTTATAATGGATCGTGTGTTAGTGTCTTAGCCCTAGTGATAGCCATTGGGTTATTTTAATTTTGAATTGACGCAAACAAGGTTTGGGCATGATGAGAGATGAAATAGGACCAGATCAAGTAGGTTCATGAATTGGGCTAAATTTGTGTCAAAAAAAAATGAATTGGGTTAAATTGTGCATGGGTTGATTGAGGACGACTTTGCTTAAGCTTGGGTCATGACATGAGTTGAATGGGTCATATATTGGGTAATTAATAAATTTTGCATTGTTTTTTTTCAATTTTTTTTATAGAAAGCGAGTTTATGGTGCTTCATTGGTTGGTTGGGTTCTAGGGGAAAAAAATTTGACCCATAGCCACCACCCTAGAACACGAGTGGTGTTGGATTAGGGGTAGACTGGTAGGTTGTGATATTCTAGAGGTGCCTCCTAGATTATTTTAGAGGGTGTTTGGTTTAGGAAATGTAGGACTTACATGCATTTTAAAACTCGTACAAACCATACCATAAATCCTTATAAACCTAAGCGAATGTAGGTTTGTCTCATACCATTATTTTAAGGTATCAAATAAAAGAATAAAACTTCATTTTCAAAATCAAACCAAACATATAAATCAAGTTTCAAATTCATACTATTATGAATTCTTCATTCCTAATTCCAATCCAATACCACGAACAAATTCCCCCATAGATGGCCATAGTCGAGTCGCAAAGGAACATGGACTAAGACTTGGGCCTATAACAACAGGCTTCCTATGTCGGAGTGATCAGACCTCCAAAAACTAGCACTCGTACTTGTAATACGAAGTAAAAAAAAAAACGTCAAAAAAAAATTTCAAGCAAAAAGGTTTACAACTTTACACATTGAAAACGTCTCAATCCACTCAAACGCTATCATCAAATGATCACAAAATTTGGAAGCTTTGGATATGGAGCACACACACTCACAAAAACTCACTTCCACTCTTATTTACACACAGAAAAACGAAGAGAGAGAAAAATCCATTGAAGGAGGATGAGGACGATGATGCTCTCTGCATCTCCTCAACCAACCTTCAAGCTCAACAATGGCGGAACTTCATTCAATCATTCTTTCAATCCTTTCAACTTGCGTCGCCGAATTCCCTGCTTATTTCAATTCAGGTATTTTAATTGTATTTTTATTAGGTTTTGCTTTCTAATCTGATGAATTACGCTGTTTAATTGATTTAATTGTTCTATTTTGTGAGATTTTTTGTGCTTTTTCTTTACTAGTTGTAATTTTTGTGTTTGATTTAGGATATGATTATGAACTTAGAATTGTTGGTAGCGTGGCTATCTTCTGTTGTAGGATGAATTTATAGTGTTAATACTGGTTGCTTAGATGAAATCAAATAATTGTAGGATATACTGTAAATTGCAAGCCGTAATTATTGTTAGATGATGGCTGATTTCTTGTTATGTGCGACGAGTCGTGTGCTCGTGTTATTGATGTATAAATGTATAATGTATGACATTAGAAAATTGCGAGCAATGTGATATTTTCCGATGTCTCATATCTCTAACAGATATTGATTGCCTAGATGAATTATCTTTGGTGAAATCTGAAATGTTGTATGTTTATACAATTTATCTACATTACTGAAGGTTAGGTAAATTGAGGTGTTTTTGACAAAAATTGGCCAAAAACGATTGGTTAGACGATAATTGTAGCGGAAATATGTAAGGTAGCTTAATCTAGCTGAAAGTGAGTTGGAAAGGAAGCAAAACATGTGGTGAGATAAGATAAGGCGATAAGGTACTTAGCTGAAAGTTGTATGATGTTAGCTGAAATGGAAGGTAAACTGAAGATACATTTAACAGTAGAAATTGATAAGCTAGCTATATTAGGGTAAAAGGGTTGAGATTTCTTCTTATCAAATATCTCCAAAGCTAAGGAAATTAAGTTGGTTGCATTGCTTACCAGGCACTTCTAATTGGAAGTTAAAATAATTTTAATTAGCTGCATATGTGCTTATTATTGCTTACCAAAAAGGTTGTAAAGGATGGTGGGATAAGTAACTTGGCAAGGAATATGGTACTTCGAATTTTTAAGACTAAATTAACCTTTTGAATAAGCAATAAGATGACCATAAGGGGGTGTCCTTAAACTTTGGGAGTAACTAACGAGTGTGTTTTTGTAAGATATTGAAGGACTTAATAGAATATAGGGTGATTTGAGCTGTCTTATGGCATGTTCAAATTTCTAATGTGTGAAGAAGATATAGTTGCTTTTTTTTAAAAAAAAAGAAAGGGTATTCTTGATAAGGCTTTAGGAAATGTAAAAGTTAATCTTCCCAGTTGCACTCCTTACTGTGCAATGTTAGGTAAGGGGATATATTCCTAAACTTTAAAAGAAGAAATTTCAACCTTGAAAAGATTAACTACATTTTTAGTGAATATGATAAAATGGATTAACTTTAATAACAATGTGGACTCCTGTTGCCTCTTACCTTTAGATGGTAATCTGCACGGAATTAGTTACCATCACATAAAAAAAGTTGAAGTGAAAAAATAGTATGGTTAGATACCAATTCACTTAGGAAATAATTAGCAATAGTTTATCTTAGTTATGTATGTGCTCCTAAGCAGTCCAGCCATCATATACTAAGAGAAGCCTTTGTTGCCAGTGATATTTCAAGGAGGTTCCACCTCAAAACCTTATGAAGCGGACACAACTTTCTTGTTTCTTCAAAGTGGGATACACATTCGTTTAACATGGGATAACACTTCCATAATTCTATTCACAATTTCACATGTTGGTTCGTTCATGGGCTCAACAAAGAGTTTAGAGAATATGGAGTGAAATTTGATAGATTTAGATGAAGCATGAAGTTCATTTCTGAGTTCCTCCAAGGCTGACAATGACCACTAACTAGATCTTTAGACTTCTCCTTGTTGTACATTCATTCACACTCTTGAATATTTTAGGGGATATGACCTATTTACCTTTTTTTTTTATGCATTAAAGTTCAACTTATTTCTTGCAGAGCTCTAAGCAAGAAGTACAACCCTATGCAGGAAAAGGATATTCAATTATTTGGACAAAAAGCGCACATATTCAATGAGCCTGTAAATCATCCTATTCTCCTGATCTGTCATGTGTTTATTTTATGAGCTCTTTTGTATTCTAATTGTAAAACAATGATCATCACGCTGTCTCTCTTCACCAGTTTGATTCAATTCTGAAAATAATACAGAAAACTGAAGTCAAAATGTACTACTATGTAGTATTAACTGTTATCATATGTGTAAGTAGTTTATGAGTTGTATGCTAGAATCATTCTTTATGGTATGATTGATATCTAATGTTTTGTATTGTATTGTATAGAAAGTTGCGAAACTTCTCTAGTATATGGGTCGTTGATTAAATAATCTGATTTTTCTTTAAACATTAATTAAATTACCACCACACTTCTTACAATCCCTTGAAGTTCAATTTCCTATTTCACTGTCAGTGTCCCCCTGTGTATTTTACTGTGACATAATTCTTTCTTGACTGCTTGTGTCAATGCATATTAATGCAACTATCATTGGAATCACTGATGCATGATAGAGGTTTTGTGAAATGCTATTACAGTTTCTGACCTCTCACCTTTATGGTGTCATTCTTATGTAATGTATATGTTTCTCTGACCCTATGTCCATGCAAAAGTCTTTTGCAATCAATTTCCCGTGTATATCATGCTGAAACTCCATCTGGACTCACTGTTACCAACACGATATCATAAAAGCTACACAATGTCTTATATTACATGCACTATATGCATATGCAAATATTTCTATGGTAAAGCTTTTGATTAATGCATGATACGTTGCAGGAGTGCAGGCTCAATGAAATTGGGAGTCCGCATAAAATTGCTGACTTGTGCGAGGACCAATATGATTTTTGTGCTTCAAATTTATCTACTTCGAATCAGTGCAAAGTAGATGAGATTATTGCTGCGATGGACAATTCAACCTTCGATAAATCTACACGACAATTGCAAAAGTTTATTTTTCTCTTTGGGATGCTCACAGTCCAGGGTGCTGATAACGCAAGTGCTACTTCAAATGTTATGGACAACTTACAGTCAGCAAACTTCTTTGGGGACCTTAGTGACATTAGCACAGGTTTCGCTTCAGTTAGGAAAATCTCCCTGCAACTATTGCAATGTGCATTCATACTAAGTTCATGTTAAACTAGACTATATATCTTCTGAAATACGAAGTAATACTTAGTATGAGGTAAATCTGGACACAAAGTGTGACTCTCTGCAAAAACTTTAATGTTACTGCGACAGCCCTTAAATACTCATTATGTGGACTACTTAATCAATTATGCCCCTCCCCTTTACACCCTTTTACAATAAACAAAACTACGAAAGATGATATAAGTTAGGTTTTTTTTTTTTTTTTTTTTTTTTTTTTTTTGCTTGTGATTCTCATTCATGACATTATGAAAGATATTATGTATATTTTATTCCTTATATGTGTTACTCATGGTTGCCTCTCCATTTCATAACTCCTTCTAGTACATAGATCTATTTCATTTCCGATGCTGTATTTTAGTAACTTGGCTGATATATGTTCTTCTGCAGGCATTCTTGCTGATCTTCTTTTCTGAACTTGGGGACAAGACATTCTTTATTGCAGTAAGCACTAACAAACTTGTCAAAGCCTTATTGGTCAAGTTGACTTTGACTGATAGCCTTTTCTTTATTTTTCTACATTTACTGTTTATCTCATGTAGTGACTCAATAGTCAATCCTGTGATTTCAGAGGAATACACTCTAATTTTTAAATAGTACGGAGTACGATAGGTATTAATTGTGAACATTTCATAAGGGCATGCATTTCTGAGAATTGATTGCACTGAATTTGCTTCCCTACAAAATTTTTCTTCCTTTACAATTATATCTAATAAATTTTGCTGTTCCTGATACGTATTGTTCATTCCTGTCCAGGCATTATTAGCTGCCAGAAATTCTGCTGCAGTTGTTTTTGCTGGCACTTTTGGTGCACTTGGGTATGTTATCTCTTGCTATTCTTGTTGCTACAATGCTATTTGCTTTCATGTGGTTTGTTCTGCATGCAATCATAACTCTTGGACCTTATAGATGAATGCATGTGAATAGTTTAATATAGATTTATACTGCATTCTTTTTTGTTTTGTAAGCTTCATTATACAATGCCATAAAGAAATAGATTTATATATATATATATATATATATATATATATATATATATATATATATATATATATATATATATATATATATATATATATATATATATATATATATATATATATATATATATATATATACTTTGTTCATGGAGGGTTGTATGATTTGAACTGTTGAAGTCTCTTCTTTTTTATTGGGCTCTAATTTACAGTGATATGATCTTAACAGGATAATGACTATAATATCAGTGCTACTGGGTAGGACTTTTCACTATATTGATGGTGTCCTTCCATTCAGGTAATGTTGGTGCATAATGATATAAATTAGCCATGAATATAGTTCAAAAATCATTTTGAGGCGAATACCGAAGTATACACGCTTAGTTTATCGTTTTGAGAATTATATAACTATGATCAGACGTTAATATAATCAACCATGTCTTTGATGAATACACAACACAATCTGTAATTATGTAAAGGCTAAGAATTTAAGGGTGTATCTTATCAAAAACCAAATGCTCCTGTCATCAAGTTATAGGTTTTGGGAAAATTTCATCATCCATTTGCAATTTTAAGGATCATATAACATTACTACTAGTTTTCATGATTGGTATTGACGCATGGATGATACGTAGTTCTGAGTTTTGTTTAGGGAAATTAAAAAACTCATGTGTCGTACTAATCATTTCATACATTCTCCCTCGCAAAGTTACAATTGATCAATAATTTTGCAGTTTTGCTGGGAGTGATTTGCCTATTGATGATATTGCTGCAGTCTGTCTCCTTGTAAGTTTTCTAATATTTGTGTCTTGAAAATAGGATATGTGTTGCATGTACAGAATCTGTTGTGTTTGTTATTATTATTATTATTATTATTATTATTATTATTATTATTATTATTATTTTTTTTTTTTATTATTATTATTATTATTATTATTATTATTATTATTATTATTATTATTATTATTATTATTATTATTATTATTATTATTATTATTATTATTATTATTATTATTATTATATTATTATTATTATTATTATTATTATTATTATTATTATTATTATTATTATTATTATTATTATTATTATTATTATTATTATTATTATTATTATTATTATTATTATTATTATTATTTTTTTTTTTTTTTTTTTTTTTTTTTTTTTTTTTTTTTTTTTTTTTTTTTTTTTTTTTTTTTTTTTTTTTTTTTTTTTTTTTTTTTTTTTTTTTTTTTTTTTTTTTTTTTTTATTATTATTATTATTATTATTATTATTATTATTATTATTATTATTATTATTATTATTATTATTATTATTATTATTATTATTATTATTATATTATTATTATTATTATTATTATTATTATTATTATTATTATTATTATTATTATTATTATTATTATTATTATTATTATTATTATTATTATTATTATTATTATTATTATTATTATTATTATTATTATTATTATTATTATTATTATTATTATTATTATTATTATTATTATTATTATTATTATTATTATTATTATTATTATTATTATTATTATTATTATTATTATTATTATTATTATTATTATTATTATTATTATTATTATTATTATTATTATTATTATTATTATTATTATTATTATTATTATTATTATTATTATTATTATTATTATTATTATTATTATTATTATTATTATTATTATTATTATCTTTCAGGTGTATTTTGGGGTCACGACACTGATTGATGCGAGTTCAAGTGACAGTCAAAAGGCTGAAGATGAACAGAAAGAGGTAGTTAAATAGTTATATGCTTGGCGTAACAGCCAGATATTCTTGGCTTTGAATTTAGAATTATTTGGGATTTACATGAATGTAAAGTTAGTTGATTATGTGGACTGTTTAATTTGCCTTCATATCGAGATCAAGTGATAGGATGAGTTTCGGAGTCTTCATCAATTTTTTAAAATTTGATATGACATTGTAGGGGGTGAAAATAGGTGGTGGCTATTACATACCAAATACATTGATTAGGCTTTATTCTTCATTTGTTGCTCTGTTAAATTTTAGCTGGCTTACTATCTACTTCCTCCGTTCCAATAATATTGCAACGAGGATGAAATTACACATCCCAAAGCACATGTAATATAATAAATATCTATGATTATATAAGAGTAAAAATTATAAAAAGTTGATATTGTAGAAGTATTTTATGAGACGAATCTAACAAAATCTCATATGACTATATTTTACTTAATGTATGAATCATATTATGTGGTTAAACACTCAAACAAGAGTGATGAATAGTGCAAAAGTTCAATTATTGCAATATTATTAGAACGGAGGAAATATAGAAAAAAGGTGCTACGTTTTATACCTATGGTCCTTTTGTGCATATATTACTAGTGTATTATTTCATTGATTCTTTTACATGATTCTATTTTTTATTCTATCTTAAATGCAATATATAGCTTCCTTTGGCATCTTTGGTGATGCTGATAACCATTTTTCTCCTTCTGTGTCCTGTCTCATTTGTTTTACTTTATGGCCTTTGTTGGTCTTCTTATTTTCTTGATCAGCTATCTCTCTTCTTTATGGAAAAGAAATATAATGCTAAAGAACAGAATATGTGTTGCCTTTTGAACTAGGCTGAGCTGGCAGTGTCCGAATTTTCTGGAAATGGTGCTGGGATCATGGCAGCTGCTGGCACAATTGTTAGTACATTTGCCTTGGTTTTTGTTGCTGAATGGGGTGACAAATCATTTTTCTCGACAATAGGTGAGCTGACCGACTAGTCTAATTTTAGCCGGAAACTAGCAGTCAATTCACTATATTAAAAGTTTGTATGTGTTTAAATGTTTATTTCTGTTGAGTGTGTTGACACACTACATCATTTAAATTAACATTACCCCAATAATGGATGTCAGTTCTGAGAATCCGTAGTGTTGTACCCTGATGATGAGGCTGCTGTTCACCCTTTTCTTGATGCATAATAACAATCAGCTACTTCATTCATAGCTCCGTATAAAGTATTTTGCATCAATTTGCATGATTCATAGTTCTACTTTATTATTGAATTTTTGTCTTCCTTTTTTTCATATGAAATAGTTCCTCATAGTTGCACTCCTACTTAAGAATGCAAGAAGCTGTATATGAAGTGTAATCGTAGCTTCCCTTGTTGCCTTCTAAGTGAAAGCTCAGTGGATATGTTTACCGTCCCAGTGTAGACAAGGTTTTCTTCTACACTTGCTTTGAATTTTTTACTTATTATTATATTTGTACAGCACTTGCTGCAGCCTCTTCACCTCTTGGAGTCATTGGTGGAGCACTTGCTGGTCATGGAGTGGCAACCTTGGTAATATATTCAAAGTTACAAATACTTTGTATCAACTAACAATTTTAACCAGTTATGAAGTTTATTTTCTCAACTTTAAGTCTCTGTCATATACTTAATAAGTCATCTAAATGCAGCTTGCTGTAGCAGGGGGATCCTTGTTGGGTAATTTCTTGTCTGAAAAAGTAAGCTTTCATCCATTTCAAAAATATTAATAATCCTCCCCCCCCCCCCCCCCTCTCTAACACACACCACGCCGCCACCTCTAAATTAGAAGACCATATCTTTCATTGACAATTACATGAACACAATAAAATCTTCCAAGCTGTCTCCAATTGAGCTCATCACTGTCATTTACCCTTTGCTACATGTTTTTGTTTTAATGTTGCACACTGAATGCGAGTTAATTTTTGTAGGTAATCTCATACGTTGGAGGTGTTCTATTTCTCGTTTTTGCCAGCATAACATTGATCGAGATAATTCAAGGTTAGACACTTCCGTAGTTCTGTTTGTATATTAGAATGGAAAATGATCCTGCGTTGCCAATTTGTAGAATAGCAATGCGGGTTCTTTCTAACTGATTATGTTCATCTCAATGTCATTCTCTCATTCTTTTTTTTTCCTTCATTGATCTCACTTGTACTCTAATCTTGTTCTTTAAGATTCGTTCTGCCTGATATCTCCATTTTTCCGCTTCTGTTATAGTAGTTTTTCTCGCTTTCTCACTCATTTGTCCATTACACTAATTCAGATTGCTTTGCTGATCCATTGAAAACGGCCGCAATTATGGTTGCATCATGCATGCACTTAATTACCCCGTAGAAAGGGAATTATAATACATAATCTAGGACCACAAAACCACCATTAGTTTGTCAAAAATATCGCCTCATATAATTAAATAGACACCGTAAACATAGATCCTGTGAAGTCAGGTAATCTCATGTGTTGTAAGATAATTACGTGTTGTTTTAGACTATGTTTAGTCAGTCGAATTGTGCACTTTAGATGTCATTGATTGAAAATGACATGCCATTGAAGTTACAAGGAAGATGTCAAGACTCAAGATTGCACTTTAAGCCAAATTAAAGCAAAAAATAAGAATAATAATAGGGGACCATAAAGCAATGGATTTTTTCTGTGCTTTATTTTTTATATGGACACCTGGTAAGAGGAAGTGCATGCCGATAACTATTCTTATCATGAATGACAATAACAAGTGTCTGTTAGTACATTTATACCTCATGTTTTATACCAACAAGACATTGTTATTGTCATTGAAGACAATAGTAGTTAATACTACTATTGTTTTACTAGACAATAGTACCAAACTACCAATTAGTAGTACTTGGGTTTGGTTAGACTCAAGTCATTCCACACCACAAATTCGTGCATGCAATCCTATATTTGACCATCCATAAACATAAATCTTCCTTTGTTTCAGTGCTTTTTCTTTGTGACCAAGCGGGGAAAGTTTAGCACATATACTTCCTCCTTCATAATACTCTGTAATTTGACTATTTGGTTTTACTCGGTGTTTTAAGTGGTACTTTGACCATTAATATGTTCAATGATATATTACCGTATATAAAAGTTTAGACTTTTAAACTACACATTGAAATGAAGTTAACATGTACTTAATAGGTTAATACGGTTTTTTTTTTTTTTGAAACAAGTTTAATACGTTACTTGGTATATATGTACCTGTGAACAAATGATCAAAGCTATATCATGGAACCTTAAAGGCTTAAAATAAGCAGATGTTGTAATTATTTTGGAATTAATGAAATACTATATTAATATGTCTGAAATCAGTTGACACTTTTGAAATCATTTTTAGTTTGTGATTGATTTTACAATTATACTATTGAAGAAAAAAAATACTGTCTAATGGAGGAGAATATGGAACAACCATTATCTTAAGGGAGTTATATATTTAGGACTGAAAAAAGTTGTAATTAATTTGGTACTCTGTACTACAAGTTTACACTACACTGTATTCTTTAGTAAGCTCATAGTCTGGAAAGCAATAACAACTTAGTTGAGTGAGCATTAATAGAAACTAAATAAATTATGAATTCATTATATACTAATTTAAGAAAGGTGGGAAATAAAAGCAAATGAGCACCAAACATCTTGGGGGAATTGAAGAAAGAATAATAAGTTGGTCGTTGGAAATACAAGGAAACTCAAGACAGTGATCTTGCAAAAGAATAAAGTTCACTCAAGTGGTCTGAATGGAGTGAGGTTTTTGCTGAACCATCCAAATTTTCTCTTTTCTTTAATGTTCATTCTAAATTATTCTTGGGATTTGTGAGATTGGAGATTGCTTAATTTTGTTTTGGTCATTTCTATAGAATAAACTATACTTCCTCTGTTCTTTTTTACTTGACCTGTTTCTTTTATCACGCTTGTCAATGTAAAACTTTAACGGTTAATAACTTTAACTCTCCATAATTAAAAAATATAAAGTTATATATTATGATAGTACTTATTGAGACGAATTCAAAATGATCCAACATAAATATGTTTTTCATACATATTATTCACAAAACACGGTCAAAGGAGGGGTGGTGAATAGTGTAAAAGTCAAAGCGGGTCAAGTAAAAAAGAACGGAGGAAGTAGGGAGCACTAATATTTCTACTTTTATCGGTTATATACGGAGTACGTTTATATTCGGTGAGAACATGTATTAAATATTTGCCCTCTTAGATATTTTTTTCCTCTACTAGTTATCTTTCGATAGAGAATATGTACAAAATATTTGTTCCCTTAGACTTTTGTTTCCCCCTTCAGAAAAATGGAGCCACTCTTCATCTTTTTTTTTTAAGTTCAAGGAAAGTTCTCAGTGTAGATGGAGAGGACTTTCATAAATGTTCATAAAAGATAAAAATCCAAAAAATGTAGCTCAAAAAAAAATGTAGAAGTAGGGTTAGGTGGTTATAGAGAATATAGACTTATAGCCACGTCAGTGATTACTTCTTCACTTCGGTAATGGACCTTCATTATTGTTATATGAAACAAAAAATATATTAATCATGAAGATTATAAAATAATACTTCGTACAATTTGATTAATTTTATGGTGCTTGTCTTTTTATGAGTTTTTTTTTCTTTCTTTTCCTTGAACTTTTCATAAGCTTATTTAAATTTGGAACGGAGATGTTGACTCAGGTAATTCTCCTGATCACTTTCAACTTAAGAACTAGAGGAGGAATATTAAACGAAGTAATTATACATCCCTATTTTATGTTATTTGTAACAATTAATCATTTTTACTCACACTTTGTAGTAAATCGTTGTAAATAATATGAAATATCGGTATCATATTAATATTAATATTACGGAGTACAATTTTTTCATGATGAAAGTAGTTTTTACAATAATTACCAAGTAGTTTGATTTATTTTTATTTTTCTGTACATTTTTTATTTTAATTTAAAATGTGCCATTTATTTAAAAAAATAATTTAAGAAAAAAAGATGTCAGTGACTTTTAGAAGATGTTAGATGGCGAAATAATGGCCTGAACACTGCTTAAATGCTTATTTATTTATCAGATGCTCTTGCTATTTTTGGAGTATGCAATCTGGTGGAAAAACCTATAACAGCTTAGTTTTTTATATTAATCACATTACTTTTTTAAGGTTATTGATATTGATATTATGAGATGAGTCTTTCAATCTCACATGTAGGAATCTGCTAGGTGTTCATCTTACACTCAATTGTAAATACGAGTATAACCCTTTCATACTTCGTAGTTCGTATCATATAATTCTTGGATCACTTTTTACTTTTTAGGGCCTCACAATTGCACAAGCAGTCAATTATATATATATAACAGTGGTAATTTTGTAAATAATGACATTTTAATAGTACTACTGAGAGATAATATAGTACTACTAAATACACTCTTAGTAATACTTTAAAAAAATCTCAATAGTACTATTAGTACTTTTAGTATGCAATTTTTCATGTGCCTAAAGATGATGTATTAGGGCTTCTTTGTAATTCTTCCATATATTGTAAAACACAAGTACATTGAAAGAAGAATGTAAAATGATTACATGTAAAAACTACGATGGAACTGTAGCCTGTGTACATAGGGAGGCTGTAAGGTATCGATGATGCATTCGATCCAAATGTGTATCGAACTTTCGATCATTCAATCTGATTGTGTGTCGAACTTTCGATCATTCAATCTGATTGTGTTTTGCACCTTAAATTATTGGTACGAAGTACCTTTATATGAAAATTAGGGTGGGGACCGGAGGAGTATAATGTTAAAAATAAATTATTATTTTTTAAAAACAAAAAAAAAAAAAAAAAAAAAAATTACTTGGAAATATGTGGTAAAGTGACTAAATTCTCTTTGATTCCATAATATATGCTTCATCATATCATCAAGATTGTATACATCCGAAAAAGGCAGCATCTTACATCGCATATTCTTTGTGGTAAAGCCGCCTTTGAAAATTAAAAAAGGCACTATCTCCACCACAATTATACTAAAGAAAGAGGTAAACGTGTGATGTTAAGCAAAGTAACATAAATCACTAGGCATTATTGTCAATGGAGGAATAAAGAATTTTATAGTGTGATTGTAAAACTCAATTTTGTTCAAAACTACTTTTCTCTTTTAATATAAACCAGCCAATTAATCTACCTTTGACACTTGTTCTTGCTATTATCATTCCTAGGATATTGGCAAAGGTACATCATATTTAAATCTCATATTGGTGAATATTTGAGAAATTGACTGGTATAACACTATAACCATTGTTTATAGACCTGTCAAAATACTTGATTTGGTTCTGATCATTTTCGATTACGACCATTTGGGTAATTGAGTTATGTTAAAAAAACGATTTTACTTCTTTTGCATAAATTGTAGCACCGAGTATGCGTAATTTTGTCATAAATTTCCAAGTGCAATCTATTTTGGAAAGTATATTTAATGTTTATATATAAGCCTAAGGACTATATATATCAAAGTAGAAGTGTTTACAATTATACAAAGAGAGAGAGAGTTCACTTCACAAAATCAAATAAGGTTCCATCCCAAAATCATAAGACAATACTCGTGTTTTTTTAAGTGTTACAGTTTAACCGGCACATAGTTTTAGGCAATTTAATTGACTTAAATAAAATAAGAGGTAAGTGGAGTAGTTGAAGTATTAAAAAATTGTAAAATAAAGATAGTGGGGTTAATAGTTTATTGAAAAGTAATGAATGTGAGAAGAAAGATATAGGCTGTGTTTGGTAACAAGCGGATTGGACAACTTTTAGTTGATTGAAGGCAAATTAGAGGTTTGACCAATCAATCCGCTAATTTGAGGTGTTTGGTAATCAATGGGTTGGAAGAGCTGATTAAGCACAATCCGCTGATTTAGAAAAAGCTCCTTATACCAGCATTTTCAAAAGAGATGATTTGTATCTATTGCTAAAATTACATTCATACCCATATTTTATAATTTAACGAATTAAATTGACTAGTGAATGAATAAATTAATATGCCATTAATCCATAAATAAATTCTTCCTTCAAAAATAAAAATAAAATCCAATAAATTCTAGAATAAATATCACAGTATCGAAGAATAATTTCCATCAATAGAATTATAATTTATATGCATGTACTCTGTTTTTATAAAAAACTGAACAAT